GTTGGAACAAAAGTCCATACCATTTTTCAAAAGGTGGCATTTGAACATGCGATTTCATTTCACATGTGAGTGAAAGTTGTGATATCTTTGAATATTGCTGTCATATATGGTGCTCCTGCTATATATTTAGAGATTCTTGATAAAACCCAAAGAAGAAGCTGCAATGTCATTGGTCCTGACCTGACATCTCAGTTTCAGTCACTTTCCATAATGTAACTTCCCTGTGCCTTTTCTATAAATACTTTCATTGTTAATTGTTTACATTTTAGTTTGATGGCATAATCTCATCATTTTTCAGTTGAAATGGCAAGATGTAACCATAAATTCTATGCAAACAGTTTCTTTTCTCACACTTCTCACTTGTGGAAAAACTCTTACAGCTTTTTACTTTCCAGTCAAGTTTGATCTTCAAAAATTTTAACACAATGACAATTGTTATCTTCTGTCATTTTAATTTCTCTTTTATTTTTCTTGCTCATTAATAATGGTTTTCTTTTTCTTATATTCTTTTACACTCAATAATCCCCTGTGTCTTAGTGACTTTGTTGCCTTGCTTGGGATGAAATGTTCAAGAAAAAAATGAAAAAATCTTGTACAAACAGCAAGAAAGATATGGGCCATTTATGGAGATGTTACTATAGTTGAGAGTACTGTTTATAAGTAGTTTGCAAGGTTCAAAATGAAAATTTCGAAGCTGAAGACAAAGAACATTCTGACAGGCCTGCAATAGTTGATGATGACCAAAGGAAAATTCTGATTAAAAATAATCCAGGTCACACAACACAGTACATTGAAGATAAACTCCAAACATCTTGTATGAGTACTGTAAGAGATTTAAAAACACTTGGATATGTGAATTGCTATGATGTTTGGGCACCTCATGATTTAATGGAAAATTTTTTTTAAATCTCTTTGGGAAAATGAAATTACCACTCCAAAAGCTAGCCTGCATCCATTTGGTAGGATTGGAAAGACATTTTGTATTACAAGCTTCCTCTACAAAATCAGATATTGAATTGAGAGGCGTACGATTTCCCAACTGGACCAATTAAAGGCAGCTATTGATGAAAATAATGCAGAAGTGGCTAATCAGAAGGGTTACATTTTCTATCAGGACAATACCAGACATTATGTCTCTTTGCAGGCCTGGCAGAAATTGGTACCAGTTAGCTGGGATGCTGTTACTGCTATACTCACCTGACCTTGCACTTTTGGATTATCACTTATTTCCAATTCGACAAAATTCTCTTAATATAAAGGACTTTAATGCTTTGGAAACTAGTAAAAACCACTTAGACCAGTTCATATGCCAAAAATATGACAAGTTTTAGGAGGGCAGAACTTGCCACAAAGATAGCAAAAATCAGTGGAACAAAATGGCACATATGTAGCTAAATAAATTTATGCAAGTATATATAAATATTGTCTTGCAAATTCACTTAAAAACTGCCAAGGAAATTTTGTTCAAACCCTATGAGATAATATAATTTTATATATCAGAAACGATATTGGGGAAAGATATATGATGAAGCAGAAAATGCTTCCTTGTGATGTGTTTTGTCCTTTATGACTTCATCAGAATAAATTTGTTATGTTGGTGCAACTACATATGCTGGGTTGCTGGCAATTTTTAATTTTTTTTTATCCAACCAATTAAATTTAGATTCTTTTTCTTTCCATCACTTTTGTTAGTAGATATCCCAAACTACAATAATAGAAGTTCTGCTAGGAATGGTGAAATGTTGTAAGATCCTGGTGCAAATTTATTGTAGATGACCTTGCAATCAAGGCACTTTCTAGACATTTTCATTATAGTGAATTGTTTTCTACTTTGATCAGTGTAGCATTATTTCATGTAAAAATTGTGGTCTGTCTCATTACCATGGACAACCATCACATTTGATGTATTCTATTGTAAAATACCTCTTTTGTGTTTATCCACTTTGTCACGTATTTTCCCATTATATATATATATATATATATATATATATATATATATATATATATTATATATTATATAAGGGGTGCCTAATGTTTATAGAATATGAGAAAAATACTATTAAGGAGAGAGAACAATTAAAAGGACAAGAATTAAGAAAACAATAGACAATGACTGACATTGCATTTAAATTTTTTCATTCATACCAATGTTGTTTTAAAAGACATATAGGAAGCTGCTGACCTATAGAACATGAAATAACAATAATACCTTATCTCAGAATTCAATAATACTCAGTGATATATCTCATACAATTGTATAAAAATAAAAATGCTTCTTATTTTAAATGTGGTTCTACAGCAGGATGCTGACAATGGACTGAGCATGTGGGCAACAACCAAGTTTTAGGGAAAATGGAAACAAAAAGGACATTTATTCTTAGAATCAGAAAGAGACATTTGAAATTTCTAGGGCATATAATGAGGGACGAGAGCTTAGATAATTTGACACTTGCAGGGCATAATGAATGCAAGAACGAACAGAGGAAAGCAGTGAATAACTAATCAGCTTTTGTAAATGGTTGGCAAAACAGGGATTAGGCAAATAACAAAAAGACAAACTGAGCTAAAAAGGATAGGAAGTTGTAGAAAGCTATGATATGGCACATAGAAGAAGAAACATCCTATGCATATTTTATAAAATTTAAAAAATACAGGCATGTTTCATTATTGGGGAATATTCAAGAGGAGAGAAATTTGATGCTGATATTGAGTAGTTTTCTGCTGAATGGACAATGGTTTTATTTGTGACAAAAAGGTTTTATTCCTAAAACATAAGGGACACAATTATGAATGACCATAGTGAATGAGAAAGTCTAGTATAAGAATGAGTTGGAAATAAAACAAGTATCAGAAGGATACTAATCCACCCATTGCTTGGTTTTGATATATCTGCCTCCAAATAAAAATACATTCTTATGTACTGATTTTGTCAGCATAGCAAATGCATTTTTCAATAAAAAAATGTGCAAATATTATATAGTTTTTAATGCATTGATATTATAGAAAGTCAACGACTCAAGGGGAAAGCCAGTAGTAATGAGTTGGAGTAAGTAAGAAATGTTCATTTTAGAGGTAAAAATGTCATGTTTATACACACACACACACACATATATATATATATATATATATATATATATATATATATTGAGAGTAGCAAGTAGTTAGACCATTAGTGTTCATACCATAGACCCAGGTTTAAATCCCACCACAGAGGTCGATTTGTTAAAGAGATGTCCTTTTGACCTGTGAGATAATTAAAATTATTGATAAGGAAAAAAACACTCCTATATCAGAGAAATGGAAAATAATTATAGCAGGCAAATAAATTAATTTAAGTTATTAATTTTTTTCAAAAGTAGGAGAAAAAAAAAGAATTATATTTTGAATTTTTCTGAGACATATCAATGATGCAAAAAAAACAAGTTATGTACAAGATTGAAAAAAAACTGTAAGTAAATACTGTTAAAAATTCTAAAATGATTGTCATTATTCCACAACTTATTTGTATTAGTATTCTATTTATTTTAACTCAACTGATGTGTTATTTCCCTTCCTTATGATGTTTGAAATTCAGAGAATTAATGTCATTATTCCACAATTTATTTGTACTTGTATTCTATTGTTTTCATTGCTATTATTCAATGGCATTTGATAAAGTACCTCACAAGAACTGTTACAGATGCTTGATATATTTTGAAAGGATGTTTGAATAATCCAGAACTCATACTGGGAGCAAATGACCTGCATATGGCAGAAAGGAGCAAAGGAAAGCAAGAAAAAAGATCTAAACATCATTTGTAAGAAGGCAGAATGTATGGTTGTCATTAAAAAGAAGAGTCCAACATACAAATTACAAATTGGAGATGGCAAAATTAAGCAAGTACAAAAACTTAAATATCTAAGTAGTGTTCTAATGAAAGATGAAAAGTGTGATGCTGAAATCTGAAGGCACATTGAAAAAGCAAAATATGCCTTCCAAAAGCTAAGCAAAGTATTAAGAAACAAGAAGATTTTGTTAGAGACTAAAAAAAATGATTACTTAACAGTTATGTAATATCAGTCCTCCTATATGGCAGCGAATGCTCATAATAGATAATGAAAAAACTTGAAGCAACAGAAAAGTTGTTCTACAGAAAGATGCTGAGAATAACATGGATTGAGCATGTGAGCAATGAAAAAGTTCTAAAGAAAATGGAAACAAAAAGGACACTTATACTTAATATCAGGAAGAGACAACTGGAATTTCTAGGGAGCATAATGAGGAAAGAAAATTTGACACTCACAGGACATAGTGAAACCAAGAAGGAAGCTGTGCATAATCTATCTAACAAGCTTGTGTAAATGGTTGGCAAAACAGGAAAGGAGAGATAGTGAAAGACAAAAGAGCTACAAAGGACAGGAAATTGTGGAGAGCCATGACCATCTCCATCCTGAAGAGACAAGGCACATAGAAGAAGTAGTATCTGAAATTTTGACAGTTGATTGCACGAGTTATTTGTATTGATATCCTTATACTTGTAGTTCTCATCATAAAGTTTCACCTGAACTGATACAACTGAGGAAAGCCAAAGTATACATCAACCAAAACATGGTGATAAAGATAACAAGGATGAGGATACTAGTTTTAATAACCTGTATCATTTAGCTGAACCAGAAATTAATTGTGATTGAAATAAAAATATCCAAATGAGAAAGAAAAATGAAATATTCATATTACAATATGTTTACATAAAATTTTAAAAAAATAATATCTGCTTTTAAAAGTCTCTTTTACACACACACACACACACACACACACACACACACACACACACACACACACACACACACACACACACACACAAGAAGCTCTAATAAAGAAGTTTAGAATGAAAATGTCACTTAGAAATTAAATTTATACATATTTTGCAATTCCTTTTCCAGATTATGTGGATGTGACATTCATGGGAAGTGAAAGTGAATCTAACAACAGCCAAGGAGGTAACATTAGTGACACCCTGATGTTCAATGTTACCACTACAACTACTTCAATCAGTTTGAATTTAAACCGAAGTAAGATAACCCTAAAAGACCATGAAATTTTTGTTGCAAGAGATGGACAACTTTTTAAGGAGAAGATTCATAGTATTCAGGTAAGAATATGTATTTTGACTCTGTTGTTATTTTACCAACATTAGAATATTGTCAAAGAAAATAAATTCAATATTTTCAGGAAAAACAAATTGTTAGGAAAAGAAAATAAGTAGTGAGTGTATTTTTTTGTAGATTATGAATTTTCTGTAAAGTTTAAACTCTCTATTTTGGCAAGAAATTTTCTTATAATCCAAAATTGTCTAAGAGGGTGCAGAGGCTGATTTTGAGCAAAGATATTTTTTCCAGAATAACAGATCAAAATCTGAGTTTGGGCACACTATTATCCTGTAATTAAAATTCAAACACAAACATTAACTTCATGAATGAAATCATTGGGGGCAGGAAATATGTGAATATCCCTCAGGTCTACACTAGAAGATGGAGAACAGTTGAAAATTAAGTGAACAACATGGACTGATATTTTTTGGTTTCTGTTAATGCAATGGTAATCTTGGTGCACGCATAATTTTATGACATGTTTAACAAGCTTATCTGATGAAGCAATTTCTTCAGTCTGTTTCATGCTTGAATACCTAAAGATTGCATTCAAGCATAAAACAAAAGTCACTGTTCAGCATTCATCTCAGTATCCACTTTTATATTTATATACACATTAATTTGATATTGAGCATTTTTATCCATAAATATAGCATACCTTAAAACTATATTTGTATCATATATACAGAGTGTGATGGGTAAATTATCGCCATTTTATACTTTTAATTTTACACAGGCACATTGTTTGTTGACTGCACAGTATAGTAGGCTCAGCTGGGCACCATCTGTGAGAAAAGGAGCACCATGACACAACTTACTCTGCCAGAAATTTGAAAATGGCATGCTGTACTGCTTGGCATTCTTGCCAGAAGCTCCAATACAAACATTTCAGCTTGTTTGGGTGTCAATTTGAAGATAGTGCAAAGGATTCAGAAAGAGTTGGATGAGCCAGATGGTGATTACAACGGTATAGCAACTCAGAAAACTCACTCTGATCGTTCTGATAAGAAAAGAACTGAATTTGTTAGTGAGGGCCTCAGACAGAAGCATATATCTAGTGACTTGAGGAGATAATGCTACCCTGCAGCAAGGATGGCTGCAGGGAGATCCTGTGTTTGGCAACAGGACTCTGCACCATGCTACACAAGCAGGAGAAACCAATCATAGCTGTCAGATAATTTCTGCAACCACATCACCAATTACATCTGGTGACCTAACTCCTCAAACTGTAACCCCATTGATTAAGTGTGGGACACAGTTAAGCGAGAGACCAAAACAACTGCTTGTAACACCAAAGATGAACTGAAATTAAGGATTATTGCAGCATTCACCAACTTAAACAAGAAGACTGTACAAAAGAGTTGCAGGGGATTCTGAAGTCATCTGTAAGCTGTGGTTGAAGCCAACAACAATTTTAATGAATACATTTACTTTTTAGTACTTAAAGATATTTTTGTGAAATTTGGTAAATATATCTCTTAAAATGAGATGTCAGTGTTAGAGAGAGAGAGAGAGAGAGAGGGACCGAGATAACACAAACATATTTTTAACAACAAATATATAATCTAACTAAATAAAATTTACTAACACTGTAAAAAATATAATTCAGAGTAAACTGAGATTTTCACTTTATATAGAAGTACAGAAATGATGAATTGGGACATTATCAAAGATTTAATGAAATTTCTGCAAACAAATGAGACAAAATGTAATTGATTTGATGAAAGCAGATAAAAATAAGTGCTGTATTTCCCTGCCAAAAAGATGCATAATTTACAAGGATATTTGGGAGACTATCACTCACTGAATTTCATGCAAAACCACAAAATTTTAAATGTTGAGTTTTAGTAGATAGCCAAAATATGATTGCATTTAGATGCAGTGTAACATTTAAATATTTAATACATGTCTTGTCTACTTGTAAATATATTATTTTTAAAGGCTTAGTCCAAAGTTTGCAATGGCTGGTAAGTCAGAGACCAAGAAGATAATTTTTTTATCCTGTAAAGAATGAATAATTTGCACTATTTACATAGTTCGGATTGTTGTCCTCATCTTTGTTGCCATATTCACAATGTTTCAGTTCCTGTACACTCTGGTGATTGGAATTTTGAACTGAACCCTTTGTTTCATCCACCAAGGTAGATTGTTCTAGTTCCACGTGACATGCCTCTTCTGAATGTCTCAGTATCATCTGGAAGAGGCATGGCACATGGAACTAGAACAATCTACCCCAGTGGACAAAATAAAAGATTCATTTCAAATTTACAATCACCCAAAGAAGGCCAGAGTGTACAACAACGAAAACGTCATGAATATGACAACAAAGATGAGGATAACAGTCCAAGCAATGTAAATAATTACAATGCCTCATCTCAAAAATAGAGACAGATATTGAATAATTTGCATAACTTAAGTATTTCATTTTCATTTTGCAATGTTTAGTAATATTGAGTCATATTTGTCTGAAAAGTTTTTAAAGATATTTAATGATATTCAACTGTATTTATTTACAGGGTGTGGAAAGATGTTATCAAGACAAAGAGAATGGTGCTGTTGTCATTGCTTTACCAATTGACCCTTCAGGAACAACATTTGAACTGGTAAGATTAAGTCAGCCTGGAGAAACCAAGGACAAGCAAATTGAAGGATGCATTTATTTTACATTTAAAATTATACTTAAATGTTTGTAAAAAAAAAAAACTAAATATTTTCTTTAAAAAATAGCATAACTATATTGGTAAAACACAGAGGCAAAAGTATAGAATCAAATGTAATTAGTAAAACCTGACAGATTTCAGTAGGATTGATATTTTAGAATAAACCAATAAATGGCCAAATTAGAATTAATTGGAAATTTTGAGAATTAATTGCTGATCTCCCTCTTGATTAAAAATATAACACAAAATCTTTTATTACTGTGGGCATTTGAAAGAATAACCAAGTTACCAATTTCAGACTGGTATGATTATTTTCCCCTTTTAGTGCAATAGGAATTGATTGATTTGTTTTTTAATGTTTATCAACCCATTGTACATTATTTAAGGCCATAATATATTTAGGCATGTAAAAATAATTTTTTTTTCTTGCAAGTCAATAATGTATTAATAATTTTTCGGGGATAATTATTTTGAGGGTATATAAGTACTGCTCTTTAAACTATAGTTGGGAGAAGAGACAGAACATAAAAATATTTGTGCATAAATGAAGTGCAAGAGAAAGGTACAGTTTGTAGGACAAGGCTACAATTTTAAGGCTATAACTGTTATTTGTTTCAAAGTTCATTTTCCCTTCAAATTAGAAAGATAAAGTTGTAAAATTGAAAAATGTTTTATAAATATGGAACAAAATTACTAATCTGAAGCAAAGAAAGGTAGGAATTTATATCATGAAAATTTTACAAGTATTCAAAAGTATTGATAACTAGGGATTAGAAAGACTGTTTTACATCAATCTTTCAAACTGGAAAGGCCTGTATATTTTGAAGTACTCAAATTCGGTTTCCATTTGGATTCAGATAGCAGCAACAAGCACTAATAGCAAACATACAACAATCTAAATCATCAAGAAAACTATGATGTAAAGAAAAACAAACTGGGTCTTATATCAAATACCTTCTGTTTTTCTGTTGGCCACCATTTTTTGATTGCTCATTCAGAAAAAAATAAGAATAAAATAAAAACCACCACTATTTCCATTTGGATTTTATAACTCAAAAAATTCATAGAGTAGAGTAAACCCCAAACTTATTTAATAACATAAACAAAAGGATGAAATCAATACACTGTACAACTCTTGGTATGGAACATAAAGGAGATTTAATTGAGGGATATTAACATACTAATTACAATACATTAATTATGAACATTTTCTCGCTCCATCATAATTATAAATGCCTTGTAACATTTGTATAAACCTTTTTTTATATTAATTAACAGTGAATAAAGTTTGGTATCTTCATTTTTCTATTATTTTTATCATAATGCTTTGACTGATATATTCTTTTTGCACTCAAGTTAAAATTGCATTCAAAGCTATTGCTTTTCTAAAGCCCTGCATTTTATCTTGAAAATTGAAAAAGATACAATTTGAAAGTATTACGATAAAAAGACATCAAAAATACTACTAGCTTGCTAATAATTAATGACAAGATCAAGGATAAGAAAAACATATTTTGTTGCATGGTTTAGATATTACTACGACCTAACATGTGGTATGGAAGGTTAGTTGGAAATTTGTTTTAGCCAACACTGTTATTCTGAGTTTCTTTCATTTAAAGAGTAAAAAATAATATCATAGAAGAAAAAAATGATAAAGACAAACTGATACAATCAGGAAAGAGAAAGATGAAATTTCTAGGACACCTAATGAAGAAAGAGTGCTTGGAAAATTTAATACACATGGGATATGCTGAAAGCAAGAGAAACATGAGGAAAACAGCAAGTAACCTACTTGATGAGTCAGTATGATATGATGGTGGAACAAAAACAAGGAAGGATAATATATGGTCAAAAGCTAGAATTAATTCAGTGACATTATGAGTTAGGACTGAAAAATAAAACTGTCTAGCCTCATTGTCTTTATGGTCAAAATAGTGTAAACAATGTGATATGACAATGCAAATTACTCTTACAGGGGATGTAAGTTTGATTCTTGTGTGAAGCTAAATTCTTATTTTCAACTCCTGCAATATAAGTTGAAAGTTCAAGAATATATCTTAAAACATTGTCATAAAAATAACAAAAAAAAATGAAGATATTAATAAAAAAAATCTTCCAAATAATGAACATATTTCATCCTGGTACTTAGAACAACTAAAAGAATTACTAAATGACATCAGATCCTCCTTATGACTTTCTTTCTCTTTTTTTTTTTCACAATAACAAATATATCCAGACACTGAAATCTAAACCTACTTCTTGACTATGAAAAACCTCTGCATTAACTTATAATCTCTAGGGTCACAGGACAAAAAATGCAGTATAACAAAAAGATGTTATTTATCACTGTCCAATAAGCTAATTTATATGTATTTCGTCTAAGACACACAAAAAGCATCATAATATTTTCATTCTGTCAATCCACTGATCTTTAAGAATTAAATCATCACAGAATCATAATTACAAAATTGGCCAAAGTCCAAGGATAACAATCCAAACCCTTCAAGCATATTTGGTGGATGTTGTATTTGCCGGCTTTTTGAAATGCACTTTAAAAAAATCTAAATATTATGATGTGTCAAATGAACTGGTATTATGATTGGGAGGTCAAACACTCAAAGCTGAAGCTGTACAAAAAATGTAAAATGAGATGCATTAGTTTTTTAAAAAGCAAGGGTTACAGCTTAAATATATATGTTTCTTTTAGGCTAACAAATAAGGCTTATCTTAGTCTAGCCCAAGACCAGTATGAAGGGCTGAGTAAGGATCAAACTCACTACACAGTTATAATGGTCTGCTAGACTAGCTTGTTAACCATTACCCTATATACACATGATAAATATAGTATAATAAATGATAATCTCTGAAGCCAGTCTACTTGGCTCATTCTCATATATTTATTTCACTTTAAATATGGTGATCATGAAAGAACTATACAGAAGTTGATATATCATGACTGTTCCCTAATTGTTTCACTGGGCAAACACATTATCCTTTGCTAACAAAAGATGTATATTTAAAAAAATATACACAGAAATCAATAACATGACATTTTGTAAATGCAGAATTAGAGCAATAAAATGCATTTCTGCATAAAGGACACTACATGTCAATTAATAAAAGAATGTTTTAATACTGAAAGAATTCCTTGGAGGATAAAAAAATATCTGTTTGATAAGGAGGTTAAAGCTTGTAAGCAAAATGATAAAGTGATCATCATAAAGATAATGGGAATAACATAGCAAGTTATTCCATCATTAAAAGGTTAAAAAAAAAAGTATAACAGCAGCATAAATATTTGAAGAGGTGCTGAAAATTTCTCAGCCCAACTAAGAAGTTCTTCCAAAAATAATCTGAGTTTTGGTCATATTTTGGTAAGTGGGTCAAGCTAAAAGAATTTTAAGTGCCCACCCATACTAAATCAGACCAAATAACCAACAACAGATTTTTTTTATTGGGGCTTTTTGCTCAATTCAATAAATTTTCAGTACCTCTTCATGTATTTATACATGTGTGTATATATGTATGAAAGGATACATTCTCAGTAAATATGGATGTCCACCAGAATTTTTCATCATATTCAAACAACTATGTCATGACATGAAAGGTTATTTTAACTTCCCTTTCTGAACTAATAGTCATTGATAATGAAGTTAAGGTGAAATTCCAGGCCCAACTTTAATTTTTATATACTTTGTTGTAACTCTCTCAAATGCTTTTGAAAACTGTAATATGGGTGTCTGTATACACTTTAGGTAAATTCTTTGATTTGAGATGATTTTATGTGAAATCAAAAATATTTCACATCCTCTTTCAGGAGCTTCTCTATGATCATAATGAGGTAGATATGCAAACAATTATGTACCTGTTCTCTGGAACATGTTTTGCTTTTGGGCTCACTATCAAACTCACAAAAAAAATAACAAGGTTATGTATACACTCTCTCTAAGTCACTATATTGAACTAACATCTACATTCAAAGCTCAAGATTTGATGTATAGAATACATTCATCTACCTTGGCAGCACACTCTCTACAGACAGTTGACTCAAATCCAAAATACACTGAAGGATCAAGAAAGCAAAACATTTGGAAAAGTAGTGAAATGAGTTCAGTCAGATAGAGGTGTAACTATCATCCCCAAGTTCAGCATGTATGAAACATGTGTATTTCACCCTTTGGTATTCCTTTGAGACCTGGACCATATACCATTGTCACATTGAAGCTTTGGAGAGATTCCATCAAAAGTGTCTCAGGAAGATCTTGAGCATCAATTGGCAGTCCATTGAACTTGACACCGCTGTTTTTCAGCTGGCCAATACATCTAGTATTGAAAAGGTCCTCATCCATAACAAAATGAAATCTTACTAGATGGTAGATTACCTAAGTAGTTATTTTACAGAATTTTACCACATGGTAAAGATCCAAGACACCACCTAAGAAATAATTTTAAAGATGTTGTCAAAAACAATGTTAAAAATCTTGATATTGATGCTCAGGGGTAGGATATGCTGATAAAAACTCAATCTATGTAGAGGAAAAGAGTAAACATTAGCAATAAGGAATTCAAGGAACGGAAGCTTGATCATGTACTCTTGAAATAGACTGTTAGAAAGTAGAACATAACCTCAATCAAAGAAAATTTTCAGCTCAGCATATATTTAACATTTATGGTAGGGTTTTCTTATCAAAAGTGAGACTTGTGAATCATCTATGATCTCATTATAATAATCACTCCAAGAAAACTAAATTGACATTGATCCGCACTGGGTGATGGAAAATTTACATCAGTTTTGTGACAGAGTATGTGGATCAGCAACAAGTCTGAAAAGTCACATGAAAATGCATGAGAATGGGATAAACTCAAAAACCATAAGCAAGTCTTTTGTCTCACATAAGTTACTCAAAATACCCATATACATAAATACTGAAATTTGAACAGTTATACATAAGTACTGAAAATTGAACAGTTTCTTTTTCTGCCAAGAGGTGGCAATCATTATATATATATATATATATATATAAATTTCAGATAGAGTATATCTGTAAAAGGACAATATGAATAAAGAAAAAAGAAAAACTTATCTTAGACAACATGTTTTGTCCTCTGAAGGACTTCATCAAGGCAAATGCATTGGACCAAGATGTATTTGAGAAATATAGCAGTGTGTACAATAAAGTTCTTAAGAATAGCTGATATAAGTGAGCCAAAATTCAGTTGAGAAAATATGCTGACTGTAATTCAAAGAAAAGAAATAGGAATAGGAAGATCATCTGGTACACACCTCCACTTAATCAATTAGTAAGTACTAAGTTAGACCATAAGTTTCTCAAATTGATCAATAAACATTTTCCGAGTAGCAACCCTCTAAGTAAAATATTTAATAGGAATACATTAAAACTTAGTTATATTTGCACCAATAATCTTGAGAAAATCATAAAGCACAACAATCAAACTCTAAGCCAATTTAATAATTTTAATCATAATTCAAGTACCAATGAAAATATTGTTAAGGATACTGACCAATGTAATTGTAGGAATCCTAACCAATGCTTAACCGAATCCCTTGTGTACCTTAGTTCTATCACTACAATAGAAAATCCAAGGGCTGAAAATTTTTTATATTGTAGTACAAAGAATTCTTTCAAAACCTTGTGGTATCAGCACATATCATCTTTTACTAATAATACTTATAGAAATAATATTTCACTTTCAAAATATTTTTGGAGGTTGAAAGATGAAAATAAAACTCCTAAAGTTAAGTGGAAATTTCTAAAACTGGCAAGAACATGCAAATCCTTATATGAACCTTGTTTTCTGTGTTTACAGGAGAAAATGCAGATTATCAGGTTCTTGAATAGGGATGATTTATTAAATCAAATATTTGAATTAACAGTTAATTGTAAAGACTTTGAAATTTGACAATTGTTTCTTTTTATATTTCAGAAAAACCTTGTTTCGCCATATAAAGCTTATCTTTCTGTCAGCAAGATCAATTTTGACATAGTATAATTTGTACATTATTCTTCTAGTACTGTCGGTAATATTTAGTATAGAGGTATAGCCATTTGCCTGATATTTTGACATGTTGCATGGATTAGTTTTATTAACACCCTATATAAGACCCTTTAGTTAACAGTTGCATTCTACTTTGTATGATCTATATATTTAAAAAATATTATTAGAGCTATATGTTTAAATAATTTTATTAGATCTATATATTTTTAATAATTTCATTAGATCAATTTGCTTAAATGTTCCATTTATTTCTTAAAGAGCCATATTATTTACCAACTATAATAATGTGAAATTTTAACTTTTAACTCACAGGGTATGGAATTTGTCAAGTATCTAGTTAAATTACATTTCTTCTCTCATAAGAAATGACATGTGTCTAATGCATAACTTTGTAGCAAATTTACATTTGTATCGAATATGATGTCTGGAGGTTGTCTACGATTCTAAATCTGTGGGTCATGATATCTTACTTATGATTGCTTCTTAACTTCCATTTCTCTCCTTAAATTGAACTTAGTGTAGGCCATTCTGAATATAAACAAAACAAATCCTGCTGCTCTCTCCTCTCTCTTCTTTGTTACTCTTTTTCCTTATTCTTTCTTTTCTCAAGAAATGAGAGTATATCTTGTGTCTTTCTTTTTTACTCTTTTTCTTTTCTTCCTTTTCTCATAAAAAGAGGTTGTATGTTGTTTAAATCCCAATAAATTGTCTACTAACCAGTTATTTACTAACGCCTGATGAGATTTGTTAATATACATCGAAACATGATTGCATTTGTGTAGCATTTTTTTACATGTTTTTGATGTAATATATATATATAATTAATATGAATAAAAGTTTGTCACTTAGCTGATTGATGTTACCTTCAGCATCTTGACTCCAGAGTTTCATAGGCAGACATGTCTGTCCTGTCTTTAAGGAGTATCAGTAATTTTCTGCAGATATTTTTTTGATTTTTAGCTTTTATGTATATTTAAAACTGGTGCAATTTTCTTCTGTATTCTCTGTGTGTACATGCACCCAACACTGTGGATGTGCATTCCCTCACATGCACCTGTCTGTGCAGATGTGCATACATGTAGGAAGTTTTAGTCATTTTGCCCCATTTTTATTTTTTTATTTTACACATTTCATTTAGCCTTCTCTCTTTTTTTCTTTTTTTATCTTTTTTTTCCAGCTGTTGCTGATTCTGTCTGGGTTTGACTCTAGTCATGTGACTAATTTTTATTTTTATTAATAGGCATTCTAGTTTGTTTGCTAGTGATGTTATATTTTGTTTTTTATATAAATAATTTATATTAATGTTTAAAAGATAAATATTTTAAATATATATATAAGCAAACAAACTAGAATCCCCATTAAATATATATATATATATATATATATATATATATATATATATATATATATATTAGGAGGTGAGATTACAAGTTGTTCTGATAAGTATTGTTATATTTGAATGAGAATATTATTGCAAACAACTCATAAAATGAAATAAGTAAACCAAGTTCAAATTACAGCTAAAGCTGCTTGTGTTCACTTTAACTTAATATCCTTCAGAAAGGTATGAATCCACTTTTTCCTGTAATTTGTTTTATTACCAGTTATCTAGATGAAATAGGTGAGTGATTCTTTGGCAAAATCTCTCTTCTATACCTATCAGGCATGAACAGCAAAATGTAGTTAAATCCATTGAAAAGGATATTCAATCATATCTGTTTAGCTATCTACTGACATGTATGTGATGTGGCTGGATATAGACAAGATGATATGATGATAGGTACTCTTAAGTGCCTACAAGATGTGTAGGGAGGGTGTTTATTTTTTTGAGGAATTCTTTTTTAATTTTTATTGATCCCCACCCCCATTTATAGTGTATTGAGAAGAATTCTGACCCCTACCAATTATTAAGATTCACCCTTGTATCAGGCACTGAATAATAAATAAAAATATATTTTATTTTCCACTGTATAATGCACACTTTTTTCCTGAAATCTTACTTAAAAATCAACCTATGAATTACAATATGAAGATTATATTCAGTAAGTTAGAGTAAATTAAATTCAGAAACACTGAAACTTAATCCTGAAATTTTCTTGACTAAATATTTCTGAGATTTATTTTAAACAATAGGATAATCAATTATAAGAAAATTGGTTAATTTATCTCCTTAAAATATCATCTGTCAAATCATGGGTGTGTATGATATGCTGGAAGGCATTATATAACCAAAAATACAATAAACTTGTTGACTGTGGTAACCTGAATTATGCATGCAATTCTTCTGGAGTGTGTGCATACACAACTCCAGAAGAATTGCTGTTCTATAAACAATTGGTTTTTATATTATGATTTGATTATAACTGAAAAGCTTCAAAATACATTAATTTCATGTCATTAACAGAATTATTTTAAACATCTTACATCATTATAAAAATAACATTTTATTTTTTTATAGAGGAAAAAGAAAATATCATCTGTAAATAAACTTTGTTCACTAAAACATCTACCAAAAGTTCAATAGTAAAATATCCATGAAACAAATTTTCCAGAGTTACTCCAATCTATTGTACTCTTGCCAAAATAAATTCTTTGTTGTTGCTGTTATTGCATATACAACTATAAAGTGTTTCAAAAGCCATGGGTTGTGATAGAAAATAGGTTCAGATGATTGCTAACAATAGATTCCTTCATATTTGATATACTTCTTATATTAACCTATTCCCAACTTTCATTTTAAACAACTATTTGTAATCTACATGTCATTATGAAAAGCACCTTTGGGGTGTCCAAAGAAAACGATTGATGTTTTTTCCTAATTGTTCATTGCTAAATCACTGTTGAAGAATATGGCATACATAGACAGAGACAGTTAGATATGAAGTGTGAAGCTTAGCATAATATGAAAAAATCTAAATAGGGGAAAACAGATAGAAAGATGATGTTGCATCAGTCTTGCAAGTTAGGAAAGATTGCTTGCTTGCCCTGAATACAATCTTTATGGCCTGATCAAGCTTAACAAGTAGATACATTAGAGAAAAATTTATTTACCATCTTTAAAGGTACAAAATGAATTCTAATTCTACTGATAGGTTCTACGATGTGTACCCACTAATAACATCTCACCATATATCACCTATTTTCATTTTTATCAGTAGTAATGTTGAGGATCAGTGTCAGAATTAATTAAGGACTTGATTGTGGAAAATACCAGCATGAATACTACTTCTACACACATTTATAATATAACAATTTTTGGAGTATATATTTCACAAACAGATTCTCTATCCTGTGACTAACTACAGGTAAAAGATATGCTATAATCTTTTTGTCCTGTAAGGAAGTTAAGAAATGCAATAATATATCAAAGGATGATCTACAATTCTTTAAACTAAAGATATTAATCTATTTCATACATGTGAAAATCCAGAATGCAAAACTACTTATTGTGAAAAAAAATATTAATACACTCTAGAAGCCATAACCATCTTTGATTGATGAACACAGACAAATTAAATGATTACTATATTTATACATATATCACTTTGGCATCAATTCTACTCTAACAATTGGTTTCTTCATTTCAATTTTGTTTAACTCAGTCACTGATTAAACTATCACAGTTGATGATTATTTGGCAGGCTCAATGTTGCTTAACATCAGTGATCAGATGAAAACTGGTGTTTCAACATGATATGGCCGTAAGCTATATATATATATATATATATATATATATATATATATATATATATATATATATATATAATTAAATGCAGGTTATACTGAGGTTAGGTACAGGAATTCAAATACATTTATTTCGCTGTTACAGTTGATAATTATTTGGAAGAATTGGTTTGAGCAGAATTTTTTGTTTTTACTTACTCTACAGCATGGAATCATCAAAGTCTTTGGAGAAGAATTCATCATAATGCCAATAATTGAATCTGCTGATGCCCCAGCTGCAGGACAACAGAATTCAGTAAAACATGGAATTGGTAAACTAAGAGGAAACAAAGCTTTAGACTTTGGAAGAGATTATGTTCCTGTACCAAGTAAGTTCAATTTTTTTTTATCTGTTATGAAAAAAAGAAAATTACTTGTTCAATTTAAAATAGCATATAAAAATAGAATGAAAGAAAAAGGCAACTTTAATTTTTATCTGTTATTTTGATGGTACACTGAGAATTTCTTTTTCTGTAGCCTTTGAAGTTAAGATCAAAATATAGCATTTGCTAAGACCTCAACTTCCATGACATTTTTTTTTCTTTTAGTTCCAATGTATGTAGGCTAAGAATAGAAAATTGAGAATTCCCTGGTGCTTAAATCACATTATTGGAAATCAGGTATTTTTAAAAAAGAATAAATAAAAAAAATGAATATTTAAGTTTTTTTCAGTTATTGTAATATTGTCATAGGATTAACAGTAATCAACATAGAAAATGCTTAAACTTGAAAATTTAGTTAACATATTTAATGTGTTTATTTATATATATCCTATCAATAATACAATATTCTTGTCTGACCCAGAAAAATGATAACATTGCAAAAAATTTAATTAGTCAGTACTGTGAACTTTATATATCAGACTATTTTTAGTGGATCCCCTTTTTTGAAATACACACTTGATTTTTATTTATTTTTTTTATTTTAAACATTGTGTATTACTATCTATTGGCCTGTGCACTCAGAAAACTTAATAAAGAAAATAGGCCTATGCATCTATTTCAAACACAGGTATCGATTAAGAATAATGTTTGAAGTCAAAAAAATGTCAGATTAAAAATAAATCCATTAATTCTTTAGAAATATATCAAAAAGTAGTTAAATACAGTTTATACAAGGGTTAGATATAAGAAGTCAAATTTTTATAATATGCTATATGCATTTGTATATTTTTCTTTAAATTTTGCTTTAACAGTATATCTCCCTTGCAATGGCAATGAAAAGTGGCAATATCTTTATGACACTGAAATACTGTTCAAAGATGTTTTATTAAGTTAGGAGAAAAAGCAAAGTACAACAATAATGACTGGAAAAGATATAATTAAAGACTCATAAGTGAAAACTTTTTAATAACTTAAAATATCAATTCCATATGCCATTTTCTAAATTATTTATGTGTGTTTCAGTAGTTGTAACGACAAAAGTATGCAGGTGTAGGCTTCAAGAATGCTTTATTCAACTGAGAATACATAAATTCATAAAGTCTGGGTACTAAAGAGGAAAACTCATCAAATCAATTACATTCTAATAAGCTTTTCAAAGTATTTGCTAATATTGTGATATAGTAACACTCATACCAGTGCATCTATGACTGAGCTTTAGATAGTGACACATGTGATAGATTTCAGTGAAACATTTTGTTTTTAATTATTTCACCCTAAGCAAGGAAATAAAGTCATTAAGATACAAGAGGTTACAGAAAGAATATAAAGAATATAAGAAAAAGAAAAACATTATTAAGGAGAGAGAACAATGGAAGAACAGGAATTAGGAAAACACAAAATAATGATTGACATTGCATTTAAATTTTTGAACATCAGTTGAATGGAAAGCAAGAAGGCAGAAGAAAGTTCTACAAATGAAAAGTGGAAGAAAAAAAATCATGTCAATTGTAAGATGATGAGACCTAGCTGTCCATCTAGTACTGCACTTAAATTCATAAAGTTGACATACCAATAAAGAAATCTCATCAGAACAGTTACAAGAATAATTACAATTATTATGCATATACATAAACACATAACACTAGATAAATATACAGTGAGCTGAATTTATGTAAATAGGTTTGTGTATATTCAAGAATATCTATTATTACAATCAGTGCTGCACACACACACACACACACACATATATATATATATATATATATATATATATGTATGTGTGTGTGTGTGTGTGTGAATCTATTTATGCATGCAATTCACTGGCTATTTCAGTCATTTACTGATGCGAAAGAATTACTGCTGACCAGAAGAGCAAGAGAATTGACAGCTGCATTTTACTTCAGTGGAAGCTGCAATTTCCTACATGCTTGCATGCACATGTTATATTGCACCTCTGCATACATAGACGCATTTTATAATGTTGGTTTATGCTTAGTCATCTCTCACTCTCTCCCTCTCCTTTCACCTATCACTTATTCACTGTCTTTCTTTTTTTCATCCTATACAGACTTTAAACTTCACCAATTTCCTATCAGAACCACAAGTTTTTCATTCAGTCTCCCAAGATTAACTCACTTCCATTTATTTCTTTGAAAGAAATTTTCAATTATAGAAACCTGAAAAAAAAAAAAAAAAAAAAACAGAAAAATAGTCAAGTGAAATCAGAAAGTAAAAAACACTGAAACAGTTGAAACATATTGATAACTAAGAGGAAAGAAACTAATACTTTCCTCTTAGTTATCAATATGTTTCAACTGTTTTATGAACTGGCTTCTTCAGAGGCTGGTTGTAGTTTATCTCACAAGTTTTTTCTTATTCTACTGTTCATGCTGCATCTTGTATCAGTTAATTCTATCTAGTTAATTAATTCTGTTATTGCTTGACTCTTCTACTGAACTTTACTATATGGCCTTTTTTTGCACTACCTGAGACAGAGATCAAACTCACAACTTCCAAGTAACTCTATTTGCTTAACTAACACTTTTATCCATATCAAAATGGGGGGAGGCACCTGGAGCCTTAAACCTAATATTGTTTGTCTGTGTCATTAACTGAATTAGAACATTGTAATATTATTCATGATCATGAGTCCAATAACCCATTAGCATCATAGGGGCACTATATATACTGCATCCGTAACAGCAATATGTCTTGGGCAAGATTGCCTAATGAAACCCAACATACCCTCTCCAGGCTGGTTAGAATTCAGAGTTTTCCTTCTCCAAGAGTAGTTGCCAACAAAGACTATAGGCCCCAGTCTGCCCTGCTATTTACATATAATTATTGGTGGGAGGGAGATAAATTCATACCTTTCCCAAGAGTATTTGCACGTAAGTGAATGTAAAAACATTGGTATTTGAACTTGGCTCTCCAATTTCTTTATCGAGACCCTATCCATTACACTACGGTGCATTGGTAATGCTATTAGGTGATGTAATTTTTCAGTCTTTGGCCTGACGTTAATTTCTATATAAGGTCAACATAGCAGGTAGCATGTACACTGATTCTTTCAATTTAAAGGAAAGAGAAAAAAGTTAAGTGAAACTATTATACTTGTATTGGCCGATACACCAAAATATTTCCTGAAAATTTTACCATAACTTGATTTATGCACAAGTATTGATGGTATTTTATATCACTTATTTACTTTTCTGCTGTTTTTTTTTTTTTAGAATGAATGAAATATAAATCTTCTCATTTTTTGTGTTTGGTCTCTGCAGTTTATTGATAGCAATACAATCTTTCTGTTTAAAAAGTAACTTGAAAGTATTTACTTTATACTACATTGTGAAAACTTTCAGAGCAAGAAAACATGGTTTACATATTCTTTTAAATGAATTTTACTGAGAAATAAATTTGTCTATGTTTACTTTTTCATCAATAGAAAAAATAATGTTCAGAAAAATTGAATCAGTTGCTAGGATTGAAGTGAGTGGTTTCTCCAAGTCCCCAAGTTGTACAGTTAATAATTTCTTCTTCAAGAGTGTTATAAAGGACAGAGTATTTTCCCTTTAAACTGTGTGAAATTGATAACTTCATGAAACAGTTTATAGCTGATTCTTTTAAAAAAAGACTTTTGTTGGAAAGTCTTTTGCACTGATGGAGGTGGACTATATATGTAGGTAATTGATTGATTGATTCATTCATTTTCTATGGTTTATCAACCATTTGCAGATTATTTAAAGCCAGAAAATATGTTTAGACTGTAAAAAGTTTGGGTGGGAAGATAATAATGATTTAGTGATGCAAGTCTTACTAATTAACCCATAGCTGACAGGGGAAGAAGTGGATTCATACCTTTTCCCCAAGGCTATTTGAGTGTAAGTGAATACAATGAACCCAACTGGAATTGGAATTCAGCTTTCCAATTAAAAATTCAAAGTCATTATCCATTATACCACCTGCACATCCAAGCTTACAGCACCTGGTATTTCCAAGCAGTCACCCATCTAGGTAATGACAAGGCTCAATGTTGCTTAACTTCAGTGATTGTATGGGAACCAGTGTTTCAATGTGATGTGGCTGTAATCCTGTACTTATATAGGTAAATCAATGAGCCCATTGCCTAATAATGAAAAGCAAATGTTTTACAAAACAAATGTTTCTTTTTCTCTGTTATCTCTTTCTTTGCTACTGCATTTAATTCAGTGGTGAATATTCATAATATATATCAAACATTATAGAGAGAAAATTTCAGAATCCAAATTATACTAATGTTCACATTTATATATCATCATCAACAAACCCCACCCCATGAAACAAAGCCCTTTCCTAATTCCTTCCATGATGACAATAACTGTGCTTTTCTCTGCCATGTTACACAACAGTAAATCCCTCAATCTCATCTTTCAATCTACTCTTTAGGGTTTTACTACTGCATTTGCCATACCTTGAACACTATTCAATCAACCTTTTGCTCCACCTGTTATCCATTATCATTTATATTGTTAGGCATCCCACCCAATTTCATTTTTGTCACTTAATTAATTTTATGATATTCTTTACTTTAGCTTATTCTTGGATCCATATTTATCTCTTAGTTTGTTCTTGGATCCATATTTATCTCTTAGTGTTATTTTTATCATTGTTCTTTCTGTTGATCATTGTATATTTCTGAGTTTGTTTCCAAATGAAAATGAATACATTGTTTTATTATCCATGGCTGCCAACATCACCTACTACAGAAGTGTCAGCAATATTACCTATCACACAAGAACTAGCTAATTTCACTCTTCATGATGTGGAATTAGCAAATACTAAACAATTCAAATGCCTTGCCTTATGGATCAGTTACAAAAGATTTGGTATAGGAGATAAGAAAATTGAGCATAACTATTATAGCTATATTATAGCTATATATATTATAGTTATTATAGGGATAGTTT